CCCTCACCAGCTGGCCTCACCCCTCACCAGCTGGCCTCACCACCCTCACCAGCTGGCCTCACCATCCTCACCAGCTGGCCCCACCATCCTCACCAGCTGGCCTCACCACCTCACCAGCTGGCCTCACCCTCCCTCACCAGCTGGCCTCACCACCTCACCAGCTGGCCTCACCACCCTCACCAGCTGGCCTCACCATCCTCACCAGCTGGCCTCACCACCCTCACCAGCTGGCCTCACCATCCCTCACCAGCTGGCCTCACCACCCCTCACCCAGCTGGCCTCACCATCCTCACCAGCTGGCCTCACCATCCTCACCAGCTGGCCTCCACCCACCCCACCCAGCTGGCCTCCACATCCTCACCAGCTGGCCTCCCATCCTCACCAGCTGGCCTCACCACCTCACCAGCTGGCCTCACCACCCCTCACCAGCTGGCCTCACCACCCTCACCAGCTGGCCTCACCACCCTCACCAGCTGGCCTCCCCCCCCTCACCCTGGCCTCACCACCTCACCAGCTGGCCTCACCCCCCTCACCAGCTGGCCTCCACACACCACCAGCTGGCCTCACCATCCTCACCAGCTGGCCTCACCACCCTCACCAGCTGGCCTCACCCCCCTCCTCACCAGCTGGGAGTTAATGTGCCAAGCTCTCCGTAATGTTAGTTGTGCTCCATTACCTCATTCCTCCATATTCAATTAGTTAGTTTCATGCTAAGTTAAAGTAGTTGGGCTTTTCTCTGTAAAAGTTAATTTAATTACTTTAACTGTAGCTCATAGGAGGAAGGGAAGGAAGGAAGGAGGAGGACTGGAGGGGAGAGGAGGACGGGTAGGGGGATTGGGAGTCGAATCACTGAACACCTGTCTCCTTTACCTGTGATGATATATTTAGATACACTTCCTTAGCCTGACTTTAAACTCCTCATGAACAGACTTAGTTGTGTTGCGCTATCGTAAGGGTTAGGTTAGGTTAGGTTAGGTTAGGTTAGGATTGGGATAGGTTAGGTCAGGTTAGATCAAGTTAACTTAGTTTAGATTAAGGTTAGATTAGGTTAGGCATAGGGTTAGGTTATGTTATGTTAGGCTCCCTTGCTCTTGTCTCTTCGCTGGGTTGGAGTATCCTCTATGGCAGCCACCAGGGTCCCAGCTATGGTCCTGGGGTGGGTTATGGTCTAGGGGGGGTTATGGTCTTAGGGTGGGTTATGGTCCTGGGGTGGGTTATGGTCCTAGGGTGGGTAATAGTCCTAGGGTGGGTTATGGTCTTAGAGTGGGTTATGGTCTTAAGTGGGTTATGGTCCTGGGGTGGTTATGGTTCAAGGTGGGTTATGGTCCTGGGGTGGGTTATGGTTCAAGGTGGGTTATGGTCCTAGGGTGGGTTATTTTTAGGGTGGATTATGGTTTTAGGGTGGGTTATGGTCTAGGGTGGGTAATAGTCCTAGGGTGGGTTATGGTCCTGGGGTGGGTTATGGTCTTAGAGTGGGTTATGATGTAGAGTGGGTTATGGTCCTGGGGTGGGTTATGGTCCTGGGTGGGTTATGGTTCAAGGGTGGGTTATGGTCCTAGGGTGGGTTATGGTTTTGGGTGGATTATGGTTTAGGGTGGGTTATGGTCCAGGGTGGGTAATAGTCCTAGGGTGGGTTATGGTCCTGGGGTGGGTTATGGTCTAGGGTGGGTTATGGTCTTAGGGTGGGTTATGGTCCTGGGGTCGCTTATGGTCCTAGGGTGGGTTATGGTCCTGGGGTGGGTTATGGTCCTGGGGTGGGTTATGGTTCAAGGGTGGGTTATGGTCCTAGGGTGGGTTATGGTTTAGGGTGGATTATGGTTTTAGGGTGGGTTATGGTCCAAGGGTGGAGTAATAGTCCTAGGGTGGGTTATGGTCCTGGGGTGGGTTATGGTCCTAGGGTGGGTTATGGTCTTAGGGTGGGTTATGGTCCTGGGGTTATGGTCCTGGGTGGGTTATGGTCTTAGGGTGGGTTATGGTCCTGGGGTGGGTTATGGTCTTAGGGTGGGTTATGGTCCTGAGGTGGCTTATGGTCCTAGGGTGGGTTATGGTCCTGAAGTGGGCTAACTGATAAACTGAACCCCAGTCAAAAAATTTTATCCAGTACATGAATTATCCGGTCCGTGAGAATTATCAGGTCGTGTGATTTATCGGTACGTAATGTTATCCGGTCCATGAGAGTTATCCGGTACGTGAAATGTTATCCGGTCCCAGAGAGTTATCCGGTACGTGAAATGTTATCCGGTCCATGAGAGTTATCCGGTCCGTGAGAGTTATCCGGTCCGTGAGTGAAATATCTACGTGAAAGAGAAACATGAAAAAAAAACTAGAATATAATAAATAAACAAGAAAACAAATTATAGATAAAGGTAAAAAAAAATTGAGATAAGTAAACAAGTTATAGAGATAAGTAAACAAGTTATAGAAAAGTAAACAAGTTAAGTAAATAAGTTATAGATAAGTAAACAAATTATAGATAAGTAAACAAGTTAAGTAAATAAGTTATAGATAAGTAAACAAATTATAGATAAGTAAACAAGTTATAGAGATAAGTAAACAAATTATAGATAAGTAAACAAGTTAAGTAAATAAGTTATAGAGATAAGTAAACAAATTATAGATAAGTAAACAAGTTATAGAGATAAGATAATTATACGTGAGGTGAATATAACTGGTTCCCAAGGCAGTGGAGGAATTAACTTGTATTTGTTGGAAGTTTGTAGAAGCAATCACTCGGTAGCTCTCCTGCAGGCTGTGTTGGAGCAAACAGTGGTGGTGCTGGTGGTGGTGGGAGCTAAGTAACGCATTGTTGGAGTAGTGTGTGTAGTGGGTAATGTGAGGGTGGAGGATGTGTTGGAGTAGATTGAGGGAGTAGAGTGTGTGAGGGGTGGAGGATGTGTTGGAGTAGGTTGAGGTAGATAGTGTGAGGGGTGGAGGATGTGTTGGAGTAGATTGAGGGAGTAGAGTGTGTGAGGGTGGAGGATGTGTTGGAGTGGGTTGAGGTAGAGTGTGTGGAGAGGTGGAGGATGTGTTGGAGTAAGTTGAGGGAGTAGGGTGTGTGTGAGGGTGGAGGATGTGTTGAGTAGGTTGGGGAGTAGAGTGTGTGGGGTGGAGGATGTGTTGGAGTGGTTGAGGAGTAGAGTGTGTGGGGGGTGGAGGATGTGTTGGAGTAGATTGAGGAGTAGATGGTGTGAGGATGGAGGATGTGTTGGAGTAGATTGAGGGAGTAGAGTGTGTGAGGGTGGAGGATGTTGGAGTAGGTTGGGGAGTGGAGTGTGTGAGAGGGTGGAGGATGTGTTGGAGTAGGTTGGAGGAGTAGTGTGTGTGAAGGTGGAGGATGTGTTGGAGTGATGGTAGAGTGTGTGTGGGGTGGAGGATGTGTTGGGGCGAGTCAGGTTATATGTTTTAATATAATCTCTCTATTTTATCATTTATCTCTATAATACTATAATCCTTCAGTAATTTAAAACTTAATATAACTGATCACTTTTACAGCGGCAATAATTCACCACTTAATCAAAACTGAAATAACAGAATTAAATATTTTGTAAAAGATTTTATTTTTTCTTTAGTAATTAATATCCAGTTTTTTTTCTCCGTGTTTTTTATTAGTAATTAGGTATGACAATTAATTTGAAGAGGTTAATTAGAGTTAGAAGGTTAATAGGTTAATTGGAGGTCTGTGTTGGGTTAGGAGTGGAAAAGCTGGCTGCAAGACGGTGTGTACTGAGAGAGGGGAAGGGGGAGAGGTGGGGGGGAGAGAGGGAGGGTGGGGGAGGAGGGGGTGGGGGAGGAGGGAGGCAGTTGAGGGAGGAGGGTTATCCAGGGGGCAATTGTCCTAATACCAAAGTGGAAAAAAATGGGAAAAAACGAAAATAAATGGGAAAATAAGAAAGAGGAGAGAAGAAGAGCAAGGAGTTTAGATCTTATAATTGAGGAGGAATATAACCTTGTCACTCGAGGAGGAGGATATTCCAGCTTCCTGCCCCTACTACCACACATCACCTCACAAGTCACACCTCCTTCACACCACCACACACCATATCCATAATACCATCTACTCCAAATCAAAAGCTCACCAAAATATATCCAGCGCTCTCAACCTTCCACAAGCCACAAGATTTCACACGGCCCTGAGTCCTACCCTTTGCCACCACTTGTCAACAAACCATTGGTGATGAAAACAACGAGTACAAAATTATTGCCGTAATATAAAAGATTCGAATAAACAATCTAGCAATACCTGATTTAATAAACTTAATCTAATATATATAAAAAAATAACCAAAGATCAAAAGTAATGTATTTTCAGGCGTTTGAAACAAAATAAACGGCTTTTATAAATTAACAGCTGAGGAAAAAAAGATGGCTTCCTGTGCTGCGTAAGAATGTCGAAGCTCAACGATGCCTAGAACTTGATGATGATTTGATGATTAATGAATTATTACACATTACCATAAATATATATCAGATACATGAGATTTTGTTTAAGAATTTGTTCAATGTTGACGTATAGACGAGCTGCCAAATATACGTATAAGATAGTACTTAGACCTCCTATAAATCCTTACCTTATACTACAGCCATCTCGGTGGGTCCTTAAGATTTAATATATCAAGGTTTAATGCTATATATTTTTTTCGGTTTGGTTTTAAGAATAAGGTGAAGTGATATCAAGATTTAAGGTTTATGGTTTTATATCGTCAATAACAGCATTTGGAAAAGAGGTGATAGTCAGGTTTAAGGTTTAAAGTTTTATTCGGAAGTTTTAAGAAGTGGTAAATAGTATAGTGTTTAGTGATTTTAGAAGTTTTAAATGGTGATAATTTTAAAAAGAGAAATGACAAAACAAGTTTTAATGGAAGTGATGTCAAAGCTGAAGTATTAATCTGGTTTAACATAAGTTTCCAGTTTTAAGAGAAAGCGATAAAACCAAAAGGCAGTTTTATCCACGTTTAACACTTTGGAGTTCTTACTTTTTTGCGAGAAGAGAATAAGAACCAGTTTTAAAGTTTTGAATCAAAGTAGCATTTATTATTTAACTTGTATTTGTTAAGACATAATTATCGAGACAGACAAACAGACATTGACAGGGGTTTAAGACAGTATGGGAACGTCGCTGAAACGAACTTCCTTGGGCGCTGTGTACTGCTCGAACACCACCACCTGGAACAACACAACACGTAGAGGCGTTATTGCTTCAGCTCTCAGTATAACATAAGTAAGCTTCAGGTCACACATGGTGATAGTAATTGTAGAAATGATGAAATGGGCTCCGATCCCAGTGTTAATAGGCCTCAATTAATAGGCCTCAGTCTTAATAGGCCTCAGTCTTAATAGGCCTCAGTCTTAGTAGGCCTCAGTGTTAATAAGCCTCAGTCTTAGTAGGCCTCAGTGTTAATAGGCCTCCAGTCTTAATAAGCCTCAGTCTTAGTAGGCCCTCAGTCTTAATAGGCCTCAATCTTAATAAGCCTCAGTCTTAGTAGGCCTCAGTGTTAATAGCTCAGTCTTAATAAGCCTCAGTTTAGTAGGCCTCAGTCTTAATAGGCCTCAGTCTTAATAAGCCTCAGTTTAGTAGGCCTCAGTCTTATAGGCCTCAGTCTTAATAAGCCTCAGTCTTAATAGGCCTCAGTCTTAATAAGCCTCAGTCTTAGTAGGCCTCAGTCTTAATAGGCCTCAGTCTATAGGCCTCAGATCTTAGTAGGCCTCAGTGTTAATAAGCCTCAGTCTTAGTAGGCCTCAGTGTTAGAGGCCTCAGTCTTAATAAGCCTCAGTCTTAGTAGGCCTCAGTCTTAATAGGCCTCCAGTCTTATAGGCCTCAGTCTTAATAGGCCTCAGTCTTATAGGCTCAGTCTTATAGGCCTCAGTCTTAATAGGCCTCAGTCTTAATAGGCCTCAGTCTTAATAGGCCTCAGTCTTAGTAGGCCTCAGTGTTAATAAGCCTCAGTCTTAATAGGCATCAGTCTCAATAGGCCCCAGCCCTATTAACCAGAGAAACACGTCCAACCTACTGATCTCTCAAAACACTACAGTTACTCCTGAAACACTTCGAGGACAACACAACACCCTCAAGTGGTACTCGAGGGTCAGATACGTCACTAAACTCAAGGATAAAGTATAATCTTGATATAACTTATTATATAACAGATGATTATATAAAAGACAACTATATACTTTGTAGTATAGAAAAATATAGATAAATTCAGATCTAATAAACTGTTATACATATAAAAAGTGATACAAGAATTATTTAATATTAGAAGAAAGAAAGATTAGATACTATTAGTTTTGTCTTAAGGAATGTTGACGTAAGAGACACGATTATATTAATAGGGATTAAATCAGTGTTTACCTCACCTCCAATTATCTCACCTGAAGGACTGACCAATCATCATGTGGAGGTAGCGTCGCCAACACCAAATATCATAAAGGAAGTAAATGAATGTAATCTTTAAATCATTCTCTAACCTAACGTAACCTAACGTAACGTAACCCTAACCTAACGTAACCTAACGTAACATACACTAACCTAACGTAACCTAACAGCATAACTAACCTAACGTAACCCTAACGTAACGTAACCCTAACCTAACGTAACCTAACGTAACGTAACCCTAACCTAACCTAACCTAACCTAACCAAATCTCAAAAAACAGTTACAAATATATATAGTCTTGGATCCAGGCCTTATAGAACAGGTAAATGTATATTGTACGAGTTACCTGTTGGTTCTGTGAAGGTGTGTGGTAGGTAATTATATTTATGTCACTGTGAAGTTTACCTGGTGGTGTGATAGTGTCTTCATACCACCCACATTAACTACTCATGGGACGGTGGCGGCAACGTTGAAGAGCTGGAGACACGACAAACCAAATAAGATGTAATTTCAATGTTGATAAACTAGAGACTGAAGGCGTAGTGGTGGTGTCTTATAAAAACAGACCGCGCCTCTACAGTGATCTTTAATAAACAAACCCCCTCTAGTAACTTAATAAACAGACCGCGCCTCTACATTGATCTTTAATAAACAAACCGCCTCTACAGTAGCCTGAATCAAGTATCTGTTGAAGTCATGCACATACCGCGTTAAGTCCCTTCTGCAGGAGTGGCGCCGGCAGGTACAGAGACTTGGTAGGTCCTACATGCAATGACACGACCCAGGTTGAAGCGTTGACAAAGACGACGCCTTTGTTCACTCCCTCCCTTCATCACCATGTGTCCTGTGGCTCCTCCTCCAGGTACAAGGAGGTGGTAGATGCACCTGGTCTTGGAGGTGAGCCAGTGAAGGGCGTCCATCCCTCCAGGCTGTTGATTAGTGCAGGTAGTGAAGAGTTAGTGTGTGTGTGTGTGTGTGTGTGTGTGTGTGTGTGTGTGTGTGTGTGTGTGTGTGTGTGTGTGTAAAACAGTAAAAAATCTAATCAAAGCAAGAAACGTAAACTAATAAGACTTTGACTACAAACAAAAAAAAGACACTCGTGAAATATATAAAAATCATATTAATCTTTTTAGTGGAAATATTAAGTGAAGTTTGGACACACACACACACACACACACACACACACACACACATACACAAACACACAAACACACACACACACACACACACACACACACACACACACACACACACACACACACACACACACACACACACACACATACACAAACACACACACACACACACTCTCTCAGGAATAAAGTAGAAGGTCAAAGGACCTCTCTCTCTCTCTCTCTCTCTCTCTCTCTCTCTCTCTCTCTCTCTCTCTCTCTCTCCTCTCTCTCTCTCTCTCTCTCTCTCTCTCTCTCTCTCTGTCACCATTGCCTATAATCCTCAAGGCAAAAACCAGTAATTAAATTTCCTGTTGACTCTCCAAGATCAAGGTAAGTTGCCCAGGTATAATCTCTTACCTGTGATCAAACTTAATTAACAAGAAGGTAATTATCATACATTTAAAGTATAGGTTTAATTCAAGTTTTCTCAGGTGATCCTATGACCTCTAGTGACTTGTCTCTGCCTGAAATACTATATAACCCACTCATTCATTGCCTGGAATCTCCTTACATCCCACTCACCTGTTTTTAACTCCTCCTCAAAAACCCACTCACTCATTATCTATCACCCCCATACCCCACTCATCCATTACCTACCACCCCCACTCACTCATTACCTATCACCCCATACCCCCACTCATCCATTACCTATCACCCCCCACCCCCACTCAACCATTACCTATCACCCCACCTCACTCACCCATACCTACCACCCCCACTCACCATTACCTATCACCCCCACCCCACTCACCCTTACCTACCCCACTCACCATTACCTATCACCCCCCCACACCCCACTCATCCATTACCTATCACCCCCACACCCCACTCATCCATTACCTATCACCCCCACACCCCACTCATCCATACCTATCACCCCCACCCCACTCATCCATTACCTATCACCCCCACCCCCCCACTCATCCATTACCTATCACCCACCTCACTCACCCATTACCTATCACCCCCACCCACTCATAATTACCTCCCCACCCACTCATCATACCTATCACCCCACTCATCCATTACCTATCACCCCCCACCCCACTCATCAATTACCTATCATACACTCTTCCCATTACCTATCACCCCCACCCACTCATCCATTACCTATCACCCCACACCTCACTCACCCATTACCTATCACCCCACACCCCTCATCCATTACCTATCACCCCCACCTCCTCCCTCATTATATCACCTCCCACCCCACTCATCATTACCTATCACACCTCCTCCCACCCCACCCACCCCTCCTCCCTCATCTATCACACCCCCCCACTACACCTCCCACTCCTCATCTATCACACCTGCCCCCTCCTCACCTGAGTAACAAAATCAGGTTTTAAACTCAAGGGATGTGTAAGCCAATCTTCAATCTCCTCATCTATAACAAACTGAGTCCTTCCCATAGGCCCTTCTGCTGGTTTGTATTTATGCAGCTCACCGTAGTTAATTCGACCTAAGTTCTCTAAGGATGGTCACCTCCTCACTCGGTCGTGGCCTGTGAGCTGCATTTCTTGCTGAGGAATAGAGAAGATATATGTGCGTTTGTTTCAGTCTATCTGGTAATATTGTACGAAGTCATTTGATGTTTTGTGAATAGGGTGTGTGTATTATTAATGAGACAGTGTGGTAGTCCCAATGATAATATTGTGTGTGTGTGTGTGTGTGTGTGTGTGTGTGTGTGTGTGTGTGTGTGTGTGTGTGGTTTGTGTATGTGTGTATGTGTGTGTGGGGTGAAATAATGATAATGTGTATGTATATACATAGTTGACATAGTTAATTATTTAAACCAAAGTACAATATTAACCCCCTTGAGTACTAACCCAATACGTAACTTCTA